GGCCCGAAAGCCATTTCATTTTCATTTTCACTTTCAATTTCGTCTTTAAATAAGAGCAACGACGCATTTTTAATTAAATTTCGTGCCCGGCCATTAAGCCCTTAACTTGCCAGCGCGCCCCCCTCCCCCGCCCCACCTACTCCTGCTGCTAGAGCTTTGTTTGCCAAGTTTCTGTGGTTAATTATCGATGAGGCCAAAAGACGACCAAGAAGATATCTTTCGCTGGGCCGCACAGCTGGGCGGCTCCTGCTGCTGCTCAGTTCAAGTCAGAAAGTTTAATGAAGTGCAAAGTGTTTTGTGGAAACTTTGAATAGAGCTATTAAAATCTGGCCATCCATTGATGCCCTAATAAGCAGCCATTGAAACTTGAACTCTTTTGTTTTTTGCTATTTCGATACCCTGAACACAGTCAAAATGTAGGTTCTGGGTATATCAGTTTTCTTCAGCTGGAGGCGGCAACCACGCCTATTTTATATATGATATATATACATATCGAATCCAAATCCCAATGTTTGCCTGTCTGCCCGTTTGTCTATTCGTCCGTCTCACAGTCTAAGAGATTCTCTATATGTTTATCCATGTCTATCCATGCATATCGCATTTATTTATAATAAATAAATTATCGATAACAACTTCCATATTATCGAATTGGCCAAGACTATCAAAACTCAGCAATTGAATTATTCAATTAATATCTCATATATAGATCTAAAGTTTACCAAATTTGCATTTAGTTTCAAGTGGTTTTTCTATAAATTAAAATATTTATATTCAGATAAAAATTTGCATTTAGCTTCAAATGATTTTTAGATTATTTAAATTAAATAATTATTTTTATATATCGGGTAAAACACTTTTAATTTAAGTTCTGTCGCATATGTAGCCAATATCTATATATGATCTATATATCTGCATATGAGTCTGCTAATATGCAAATTGAAAAACATTTAATGGTATATATAGGTAGAAATCCAGTAATTGAAACAGAAGTTAGTAAATAGAATGATTGCTAAATGGGCTAAATGAGCAAGTGAAGGAAATCTTTCATATATATCATATTCAGTCGAGTCTCAATAAATCAAAAAGCGCGATGATTCGAAAAAATTCTTTTCCCTTGAAAAAAGTTCGTTCTCGATAAATTTCGATAGTTTAAATTTCTATGTAAATCGAAAAAATCTAATCTCCTTGCCTTTTCGAATTATCGGAACTCGAATATACATATGTGCACACATACATTCAAATCAGGGGCATTCTAGCACAGTTAGCATATGCTCAGAATATTTTTGCTACTTGATTTTCGAGTAGTATAGTGACGGTGTTGGTAGAGGTGATGTTCATTGATAGAGACATAGACTCGATGGCTTTATTTATATAAAATTAATATCCTGTCGAGCATTTCTTGTATTTATTCAGCATTCGTTCATTTGATTAGAACAATTCGTCAGTCAGGGTATCTACCAGTCTAGCACCCCCATCAAAAGGTTTCCAACTTGCTGTTTTTTTGTGGCAGCAATTTAATGAGTTGCGCCTATTGTCTGCTGAGCGAGCAGGTGCTGCTCGAATGGCTTCCACTTTGCTTGAAGAACTCATTTATACTCGTGCGTCATATGCGTGGCATCGCCAAACTAATGATTGCCGTCCTTTGTACTAATTTATTGGATTTCTTTTGTCGGACACGCGAACGGCCATCCACAGTTTTGCTTAGACAAAAGTATTTCTTAGCCCGGCCGTAGTCTGCCTTGGTCTGCCGTCGCCTGGCCTTTGGTTTATTTCTGTTCTTTTTTCGCCCGGACGGGTCATTTATTAATTGCGGCTCGCATGCGTGCTAATCTCTTCATTATGCGATTTCATAATGGATTACATTCAAATAAATGCGCCTCATTTACCGCCGGGCTATGCGGCTCGTAATTTCTATAATTTCGTTGCCATTTTCCTAATGATGCGTGGCTTCGGCCCCACTCAAACTACCCATCTACCCACTAATTTCCGAGGAGCCAGGGGGCCAAGGGTGAGCGGTGCTAATGTTAATGCCTGTTAATTTGAGCCCCTGTAATTGAATAAGATGCATCAGTTGGACTAATTCTACCTCTCTGTCTCTATCCTGTCTCTCTGTCTCTGTCTGTGTGTGTGTCTGTCTGATATTGATAGAGGATGGCAGAAGCTGGTGGCTCCAAAGCTAAACAGTAATTCATAATTAAAGGCGTCTTAGTTACGTTATTTAAATGTTAATTTCATTTAGTTGAGGCGAAAGTAAAATTTATATGGGAGATAAACTTTATTCTGCTTAACTCTTTCAGCATCAGAAGTTTTTTATTATTATTATTTTTTTTTTTAAAGTATAACAGTATAATAGTATAACAGTATAACAGTAAAACAGTATAACATTATAACAGTATAACAGTATAACAGTATAACAGTATAACAGTATAAAACTATAAAAGTATCAAAGTATAAAGGCATTAAGCATAAAAGTATTAAAGAAACAAACTCATTCTTCCCTACAAAAACGTTTCAAGTCTCTAGCTTCTTCTGAAATCGACACGTTCACACATACGGACGAACAGACAGACAGATGCACAGAGCAAAATCTACTCAGCTCATCGCCCTTCGTCTTTCTCTCCGGAATTGTGGATCCGTAGGCCTTGCCCCTTCTGTAAAGTCATAACGAATATCCTATCTATTCATGCCTATTCCGCGGACAACTTAAGCTGAGCAGCTGAAGCGCCAGTTCGTTCAAGTACTCAGTCGAATAAATAGCAGCAGGATTCAATGTGTAATGCAGTGCACTTACGTTTGGCTTGGCTGCTTGTGTAACTGTTCCAACGGCTGCTATCTAAGCCACTCTGCTTTCAATTGCCCTGTCGTCAGGTGCGTCAGGTGTGGTGGGGGGTGCGGGGCAGCGGGGGCTGCGTGACAAATTTGTAACCGAAAAGCGAAAACCATTTAAATGGTCGTAAAAATGTGCGCGCCGACAAGCGGCCATAATACAATGAAAGGCAAATCGCGTATCGCATAGCCCCCGGCGTAAACCCCATGGCATTACTTGATATCGCGCTGCTTCAACGGTCTGTTTTATTTTTTTATTTTTTTTTTTTTTTAGCTTCCACTGCTTGTACTTTGTTTTTGCTCTAGTCGCGCGCTGTCAGCTGCGCTTACAAGCGGCCAGGCAAATTGAAAACTGTTAAGGACGCGCGGCGAGCTGGAGGGCAACGCCAAGGACAGCTACAGCTACAGCGACTACGACAACGAAGACGACAGCGACAAATGGCGGCGCTTGTTCATGAAAATTTAAATTGCAAAATGGGCTCAGTGTGGGCGTTAACAGTCAAGCCCAGCGCCATCGCCGCGCCATGGCCCCACCCAGATCCTGTGCCAGCCCCCGGCCAGATGGAAAACCCTTCACCAATATTTGTCTTTTAATTACCTGCAAAGTGTCAGGCAGCTGTTCAGTAAAATTTGTTGCCATAAGGCACGAGCCATGTACCCGAGCATTCGAATTTAATTATTAGATGGCACACGGCTACAACAATTAAACATATTCACAATTTATGCATCGACTATTTTGAATAACGTACGGAGAGGACAACCGATCTTTGCCAGAAGTGCTGGTCTACTAAATCATCAAAATCATTTGATGCCTGTAGTGTACACAGTTCTAGAATTTGGTATGGATATATGACTGTATGCGCGATTGAGTCTTTCTGTAGATTCTCAGCTAATGTTTACTCAGCTTGCACTGTCGCACAAATAAATGGCTACTTACTGTAAATATGAGAGAGCGTAAATATGCATTTACTTTGATCAGTTCTGTTCCGCTCTTACGCTCAACAACCGCCCATTCGTGTTGCATTCTCAATTACTCAAAAGCTATATACCTGCCATTGGGAAGAGCGAGTTGGGTATATTAACACTGAGTCCACACTCCTTCCTCTGCTACACAAATCGTGATCAAAAGCAACACTCCAAATGGCTACTGTAAATGCTATGTGAGCAATCTATTATGCTCTTACAATAGTCTAACCTTTCAATGCACAAATGCTGTTTGTTCTCTGTTGAGCGTTTAAACACACACACATTTGCATGTATTGCAATTATACAAATCGAAATCAAAGGCATTTTACATTCCACTATTCCAGTGAATACTCGCTTCACTAATGCTCCCTGCGGCCTTACGCGGCATTAGAGGACGATACTACATATGTATATATGTACATACATACATATTTTACTTAAGCAACGATATCAGAAGCAAGACCGTAAATGGCTACCGAAAATATGTTAATTAGCTGCCCTTGACAGCTGCAGTCCACTCACTCACTCATGCTGTTTACTGCATGCTTAGATTTGTCGCCTTCGCACACAAGCACACAAAATGCGAGACAAGAGCATAAATTGGAGAGCGCTAAGTGAGCGCATTTACATTTTATGACAATTACAGTTTAACTCATTCGCTCTTTACACATATTCCTATGACAACGTTCTGTGCTGCTCTGACTTCGTCTTCTGTTGCATCGAATGAAAAGAGAGCAGAGGAGCAAGCGTAAATGGCTATGTGTACACACATACACATGCATATCGTGCTCACTACAGTGGGAATCCACTCAATCACTTACGCTGCCTTCATCATGCTCAGTCGTGCAGCTGACCTGCTCACACTCATTTCACACACATGCGAAATGAGATCACACGCACATATTTTATGCTCCCACGTATACACATTCAACAACTTCTTGGTTGGAGAACATTCGTGCTTACGCTGCTCATTTTTTTTTTCACGCTCTCATTCTGTGCTTTATTCAATGCCATTTTCCGTTGTCACACTCTTGTCAAATACAAGAGCTCGCAGTTGAAATGAGTACACAATTTGTATTGGTTAATTTTAGCTTGATTATCGAAAGTCGAATTCTGGTTATGAGTCCCTGGAATTGCTGATCCAAGCAACCCTTGTTTTAGTGTCAGTGGAGTGAGCAGAGCAAGCTATGCAAAGCTCGGGCAAATAACTTATAGGAGTTTATTTAAAAAATTCAGTTTTGGTTCTGCTTCCACAGCGTCAACTACGCCCAGAAACATACAACTTCTGAAAATAATTTTCCAATTTTGTAACAGATTTTACCACGTTTAAGGTATGTTTTATTACATATAATATTTAAAATACTCGAGAGGGAGAGCGAGAGAAAGTGAGTGCGATATTTCCAATATCCTTTCCATATTTTTCCAGTGCTCGGCAATGTTGCGCATGATTTCGAAATGCTCAAAATTCCATCGCGGATCCAGCTTCGCTTACCAGCTGGTGGGCCGGGAGCTGTGCCGCACCTATGCCAAGGATGTGAAGTTCGGCCCAGAGGTGCGTGCCATGATGCTGCAGGGCGTGGACGTGTTGGCTGATGCTGTGGCCGTGACCATGGGACCCAAGGGACGCAACGTGATCATCGAGCAGAGCTGGGGCTCCCCGAAGATAACCAAGGATGGCGTCACGGTTGCCAAGTCCATAGCGCTCAAGGATAAGTTCATGAACATTGGCGCCAAGCTCGTCCAGGATGTGGCCAACAATACGAACGAGGAAGCCGGCGATGGCACCACCACGGCCACTGTGCTGGCCCGCGCCATTGCCAAGGAGGGCTTCGACAAGATCTCACGCGGCGCCAATCCCGTCGAGATCCGGCGTGGCGTCATGCTGGCCATCGAGTCGGTCAAGGAGAACCTAAGAAAGATGTCGCGCCCGGTGAACACGCCCGAGGAGATCGCCCAGGTGGCCACCATCTCGGCCAATGGCGACAAGTCCGTGGGCAATCTGATCAGCGAGGCCATCAAGAAGGTGGGACGCGAGGGTGTCATCACCGTCAAGGATGGCAAGACCATGAACGACGAGCTGGAGGTCATCGAGGGCCTGAAGTTCGACCGTGGCTACATCTCGCCGTACTTCATCAACAGCTCCAAGGGCGCCAAGGTGGAGTTCCAGGATGCCCTGCTGCTCTTCTGCGAGAAAAAGATTAAGTCGGCCACTAGCATTGTGCCCGCTCTGGAACTGGCGAATGCCCAGCGCAAGCCCTTGGTCATCATTGCCGAGGATGTGGAGGGCGAGGCCTTGAGCACGATGGTGGTGAATCGCTTAAAGGTCGGACTGCAGGTCTGTGCCGTGAAGGCGCCCGGCTTTGGCGACAATCGCAAGGAGACGCTGGCGGACATGGCCATTGCCACGGGCGGTCTGGTGTTCGGAGATGAAGCGAACATGGTGCGGCTCGAGGACATCAAGGTCAGCGACTTTGGACGTGTGGGCGAGATCGTGGTCACCAAGGAGGACACCATGCTGCTGAAGGGCCACGGCCAGCGGCAGATGATCGACAAGCGGGTGGAGAATCTGCGCGAGGCCATCAAGGAGACCACCTCGGGCTATGAGAAGGAGAAGATGCAGGAGCGCCTGGCCAAGCTCTCCTCGGGCGTGGCCCTGCTGCGCGTCGGCGGCTCCAGCGACGTGGAGGTGGGCGAGAAGAAGGATCGCGTGAATGATGCACTCAATGCCACGCGCGCCGCCATCGAGGAGGGCATCGTGCCCGGCGGAGGCACCGCCCTGTTGCGCTGCATCGCCAAGCTGATGGATCTGAAGGGCGCCAACGAGGATCAGAATATGGGCATCGAGATCATACGACGTGCCCTGCGCATGCCCTGCCTGACCATTGCCAAGAATGCCGGCGTCGATGGCGCCATGGTCGTGGCCAAGGTGGAGATTCTCGACGGGGACTATGGCTATGATGCGCTCAAGGGCGAATATGGCAACATGATCGAGCGCGGCATCATCGATCCCACCAAGGTGGTGCGCACGGCGATCATCGACGCGGCCGGCGTTGCCTCGCTGCTGACCACGGCCGAGGCCGTTGTCACGGAGCTGCCCCTGGAGGAGGCCAATCCCATGGGCGGCATGGGCGGCATGGGTGGCATGGGCGGCATGGGAGGCATGGGCGGCGGCATGGGCGGTCTGGGCATGTAGACTGCGCCAGAGAGGAAGAGTTACACATATAGAGGGAGAGGACAGGAACAGGAACTACATATGTATATGTATATAGAGACACACAGACTCAGGCAACGTTGGCTGTTCGTGGTTCATTTTAAAAACTTCATTTTGGCATCTCCTTAACCTCAACCGCTTCCAGGCACACACACACATTCACCCACCCACACACACACACACACACACCCCGACACACACCGACACACACACACATCCATACACACATCATTTATGGAATTTAAATTTTAAGATATGCGCTCGATTTCCTTTTGGCAGGGCGCAGCGAGGGGGCAGCTTTAACGGTTAACGGTTATTAATTATCTAATTCATATTCGGATAATGAACTAAACAAAACTCTTTAATTACTGGACTGCAGAACTGAACGGCTTCATTAAAACATTTACCAACACTGCAAGCACGTACTCAACTCTTGCTCAACATTTTCGCCATTTCGATTTGATGACACTCGACCCATACATTATTCACATTACTGTTCGTTCCACTTTCAAATACAACGATTATAACTAAATTATGAATATATTTCAATGTCAAATAAATGCTAAGCTATTTATTATGAAACTGTTTGCATTATTAGCTGTTATAAATTGAAATAATGCATACAATATATTCAAATAAAATTAAAAAATATATATATATATTTATACATATGAAAATATATGAAAATATAAATAATTATTTAATTGTATTTTATATATTCAAATACAAATAAAATAAAAATAAATAAAATAGCATGCACTATATACAAAATATTTAAATTACATTATTTAAAGGTTAAAAAGTTGAGATATAAACTATAAATATTTTAATCGAAATGTGAAAAAATTTTATAAAAAAAAGTAGTAAAAATAATAAGTAAAATAAAATTATATTATATATCGTATATTTAGCAGATAACTCATTTTATCATTGGACTGCTTTTATTATCAAATATTTAAAATAAATGATAGTTATATCGACATAGCTTTAACCAAATTAATTTTCTCATTGCAGTAAGCATAAAATTCCTTAATCTTAAAGAATTCCTTTATAGCACTGGCTTAAATATTAAAACTCAGTGAAGTGGCAATAACTTGTGCATAAGGCATATGTCATGTACTTTCTTGTCCCATTTATATTTATTTATGTAGATAACAAAAAATGGCAAAATAGAAACGGAAAGTCACTCGACTTGCTATTTCACTTGACATTTTGTTGTCCGACATTGTTCATGGGATTGGCTGGCCTCCGGCGTTGGAATATTGTCAAGTGAAGGAACCGAACGTCTGCTGCACATATCCTTTGCGACATCCTTTCCATTGTTAGCCACTTGTTATGGATTGTTGCTTGATACCCTGCATAAGACAAAACATCTGCAATAGATACTAGATACTAGATACTAGATACTAGATACTAGATACTAGATACTAGATACTAGATACTAGATACTAGATACTAGATACTAGATACTAGATACTAGATACTAGATACTAGATACTAGATACTAGAAACTAGACACTAGATACTAGATACTAGATACTAGATACTAGATACTAGATACTAGATACTAGATACTAGATACTAGATACTGGTTACTAGATACTAGATACTAGATACTGGTTACTAGATACTAGATACTAGATACTAGATACTAGATACTAGATACTAGATACTAGATACTAGATACTAGATACTAGATACGAGATACTGTATACTAGATACTAGATACTTGATACTTTATAGAGAGAGATTTGGCTAGAAAATAGATAGAGATAGATGGGATACGGCATAAAATATGCTTAAATAAGCTCTTAGATTTCAATCGGGTATTCTTTAGTTGGGACAATCCAACTAAATAGCATTTCTCATTCATTTGCTTGCTCATATATTATGTGCTTTAGACAAACCACTCAACGCAGCTCTAATTGTGGTGCAGTAAGGCAAAGAGTCTGCACTTGACTTCTCTGCAGTTGCTTTTAAAGTTTTTGACATTTATGTTGCGATTTTAACCTGTGCTGGCCACTTCGAGTGTTCTGCATGCTATGTGGGTCTGTTGGTTATCTCGGCTTCGGGCTCTAGTTGTTTTCGTGGCCTCGCGTCTAAGCGTATGCAACAGCACTCGAGGCTTTCAGTGAGGCTGTTGCCTTGACGAAACAAGCATCCTAACGAGCTGTGCTCATCATCGGGGCTTACACATTGCCCAGCGGTGCTGAAAAACTTACAGGCCGCAAGCCAAAGTGGGTAACAGAGCGTATCAACTGCCCTGTCCCGCCTCCTTTGCGGCATAGCCAGTTGCTGTTGCAGCTGCTGTTGCCGCTGGCATCATCTTGAGTGCATTTTGTCGCGCAAATTGCATGCAAATTCGTGTGATGTTCAAGTGGCTGTTAAGACGGAGATGATGATCCGGCCACGTGTCTTAATGATGCTTACAGCTCACACAAAATGCAACAAGGCGACACTTAATTATGAAAAAGGACGCCTCAAGTGTCGCTGCACGGATTACGTATACGCCCTCGTCCACCTCCATAGCCCATCAAGCACCGTCCCATCCCATCCCATTCACCACATTTAATGGCATATTTACGACCCTGGCTAATCCAGCTCGCTTAGCGCATTAAATCAACTCCAAAATGGCCATAAAATTGCTCTCGTTCTGCCATGAGAAAACATTTCAAAAATTGACAATTTATGACCAAAAAGAGAAAGAAAAGCAAAACAAAAATGTAATGAAAAGGGCCACCAAAAAAGAAAGGATTGAACATAATTTGGATAGTTAAACGAAGCTCAGATGCTCTAATTGTGTTGAAAAATCAAAATCAAAATAATATTTTACCTAATCTTCAGAGACACACATTTACTGTTACTACAATTTTTTTCCGATTTTTTTTAGACATTACAGCTTAAAATTTTTATTTTATTTATTTTTTTTTTTTTTATTTATATCTGAATTTTCATGAGTAATTTTTGTTTCTTGATAAAAATATTAAAATTTTTGTTTTTATGTTTTTATTTTGATTATCATTATATATTATTTGACCAGATTTACTCTAAAATACTTAAACTTAAATATTCTAAATTTTATCCAATTTGAACTGCAATTAGTATTGCAGTTTTTTTTTTTTAAATGCTTAATTAAATGCTTAAATTATATCAAAATATTGCTTGAAAAAATGTAATTTAAATTGCTTTTAAAATTTTTATTTAATACCTAAGTTATTACATGAAAATTTGAAAATAATAAATAATAATAAAAATAGTATAATAACGACTTGATTTTATCGTTATTAATAAGTATGAATTTTAAATATTTTAATACTTTATTTTTCAATCGGTTTTTAACTTCTGTGGCTAATCAAAAATATGGTTTAATTACAAAATTTGTACTAACATTTTTTTTATGTCTTTTTTTTTAAGGCAGCTGTTTATTTTTTAATCATTTGTTTTCAAATATAAATTTCTATTGCAACAATTATTATCGAATATAAAATATTTTATTTCTTAGACTTTTATATATTTTCAAATTTATTTCCATACTTCGATTTCACAAAGTTGTGCAGCACTCGAAAAGCAGTTTGAGTATCAAACTACAAAATAAAAAACAAAATAAAAAAGAATATAAAATGCCTGTTCTGTGTGCAGATTTATTTGGCGTTAGATGTTGATGGTTGTTTTTTGTTTGTTGTGGCATTTGCAACATGCGCTGCACTCGCATGTTGCAGGCAACAAACAGCCACTTTTACATATGGCCATTGTTATGATTTATGTGGCAAAAATATTTCAGGCGCGCTTCCTGTAAATGTTTTTGTTGCCACTTCTTTTATGCCGCACACACTTTTGTGCCGAGGCGCGGGGGAAGGGCGAGCAGGGATGGAGTTCGGGTGGGGTCTTTCATGTACGGAGCCAAATTCAATTTCAATTTGCACCCCATCAAAAGACAAACAGAGCGCGCGCGAAAAGTCTTTGAACTCTTGGCATAAACATATTGAGTTTTGGCAGAGCTCTGTAAGAATACTGAAGTCTGGAATTGTGGCCAACAAGGTGGGACAACATGCGGAGCGACTGCGTCCTCAATCGTTGTCAGCTGCAGCACCAGCAGCAGCAGCAGCAGGAAAATAATATTTTTTTTCCCTTGCCTCATATGTCTGGGACGTCCTGCTGCTAGGCCTGGCGCCCCATTGTCGAACTGCTTGACTACGAGAATTCTTGCTCCTGCTTGCTTTGTAATTGAGTTTCGTATATATTTTAATGTGCAGCCTAGCTCTGATATTTTGCCGGGCTACACTCAAACACGCACACACTCACACACACACTCATCTCTTACAACGCATCCATCAACTGTTGCAACTGTTTCAACTGGCAGCAATAGCTGGCCGTAAGCAAATCATAAGCGGAAACGGCAGTCAAACGTGTTTGCCAAATCCAAACAGTCTGCATGCGCATAGATTTCATTTAACATCGATTCGGCCACATATGGCCAGCACACACACAAACACTCACACACACGGACAGCCATTGAGGCCGGGCACCGGCGGAGGAACTAGTTCAGGAAATGCAAGCCATTGCCTTGATTCGGTTTACATAGCAACGGCTGCAGCTGCAGCTGCAGCTGCAACTGCTACTCCTGCTACTCCTGCTGCTGCTGCAACTGGTACTCCTGCTGCTGCTGTTGTTGTCTTTTTTGGAACATGGCCATCAAGTGGCCATGTTTCTAATTTCCTGCCGAGTTGCAGTTGCATTGTTGTGTTTGGCAATTCGTATCTGCAACTCGACACACAATTTATAAAACGATTTTTGGGTCCCTGTTTTAAGTGCGTATGTGAGTGTGTGTGTGTGTGTGTGTGTGCGATAGGGCTCTTTTTGAAGTATTTTGTATGTGCATCATCTCTCTGCAGGATATTCGATTAATTAAACTGCAATTGCAATTCCAGGTGTCATCTTGTCAGTTGCTGCCTGACGCGAGGGTGCCAAATTGCAGTGGTCCTTTGATAAGGCAAAGAATGTCCTGCATGATTTTTCCAACCAAAATAATAAAAAAATACAAATATTTTAGATAAAATAATAAAAAATAAAATAATAATTATAAAATTATAAATAAAAATAAAATTTTAGCTACTTAAATTAATATTGTATAAATTCAATATTATTTTCTTTTACATTCTTATTTTATTTTTTAAGAGATGAAGATTTTTATGTCGATTTTTATTTGAATGATTCAACTGTTAATGCTTTCAAAAAGAATAAATGTCGTATTGTTCTCATATAAAGTTGCAGATTTTTAATTATTTTATTGTCCAATACAAAAATGTCAGACAACAGTCAATTATTGTCATTGGGAGCTTAATTGTGCTCTTGTTAGCCAAAGCGAGAACAAACAAAAGGTCTATCAAGGCAAATATATAATTATACTGAAACTTTTAAAATTCAACATATTTAAATGTATGAAAATGTAAAAAAAAAGTAATAATAATAAATAAATAAAGTGAAAAAAAGAAATTTTATTTAAATTATAGATAACAGTTTATATTTTGGCTTGAATTAAAGAAAAAAAAAAAAAAAAATTTTTTATTAATATATAAAATTTT